AAGTTCACCACCGCGCGAGGGCATTGTGGGCATCGCTCTTTTTTGCAAAGAAGAGCTGACCAGTAAGTACTGCCTTCTGGCCCACCGACCCCAGCTATTCAACAACACTATAGCACCGACGAATCTCTACGGAGTAGAGACGCGGACGCTCACGGAGCCCCTTTCCGACGGCACTTGCGACGGACACAACGACGCACACAACAACTTTTCCAGCGCGAAACAACGATCACGCCCGACATCCGAAACGGCGAAGACGGCACAATTGCAGACCCGTTGGACACTGGGCCGAATACATTCAGAGAGCGACACGACGAGCAACTCACCATATGAAGCTTCGCGGCATCGACACCCGGGTGGCAGTACGCAAGCGGAGAGTACGGCGCATGGCTTCAATAGTCGCAGACCACGACCGAACACGGTGGACATGGCGAGCGTTACGCTGGCAACCGTACCTCCACCGGCGCCAGCAGGGACACAAGCAACACGGTGACCAACGCAAGCGTCGGGACGACGAAATCAAACGCTTCTTACACTAGCGCAGACCAGTCCTCCACGGACCATCCACACACAAACCCAGTCGAAAAGACAACCAAACGACAACACATGGACGCAAACAACCCAAAATACCAAATGTCTCAAACCATTTTGGCTCAGGAACCTGCGTTGTGCCAGGAGCACCTTATGTTGCACCACTTTGTTGTGCAGGCTTGATCGCCTCACGCGCCAGGCCATCGAGGTGGAAAAAGGTAACATCATAATTTTCTGGATTGTGCCGTGGTTCCTCCTCCGCCGCCGCCCGCTCCTGGTTGTGCTGCTGAACCTTGGCGCGTGCGCTTCAGCTTCTAGCCCGAGGGCAAAGGAGCTGGCAAGGGCAAGGGAGGCCACTCGACAGGAGGCGACGGCGGCGCCTATTGGGGTAGCTATGCCCGCTGGACCGCTGGACCTGTGGAGAGTGCGGGTGCTGCAAGATTCGCTTGTCCTGATGGTGTCCGAAGCACCGCAAGACCTTTCGCAGCGAGGTCTGCACCGCCACGCCGCCTGGACCTCACGGGCAATGACAGAGTGGAAGGCCATCTCGTCTTCCTCTTCGGCGTGGCCTCCAGTTTGCTGTCGGAGAGGAGCCCAAACCGCCGACGATGGGAGTAGGAGCGGCCCCTGCTGTCGCTACTTTCCGCCGACATCGAGAAGCTTGTCAACGCGCTGGAGCAGGTGGGCGACGCTGAGGGGGCAGCCCGTCATCGTGCTGTGGTTCAACAGCGCAAGGCGCAGAAGGTCCCCGTCATGCCGCTCCCGCAGAGGGTCTCCAGAGCTTTCGGGGGATTACAGGTCTCCGAGAGAAGACCGACAAAGCTTGCAACGTCTATAAGAGGATGGTGGAATATCTGACTCAGCAAAAGAACGAAGTACGTGAGCTGTCGTGAGAGTTCGCGACTGCCGAGGCCAGTCACACCAAACTGGCGCAGGATCTCCACTCCCAAGTATAAAGTGTGCAAGTTGTTTTGGATATTGCTAACTTCGTGGATGGCAAGGCGGAGGGCGCCCCCATCTCCATCGACGGCCTCATCAAGACCCAGTTCGACTGCGAGCTGCCCCCTGGCGAGGTGGCGGAGGCCGAAAAGAGGGCAGCCAAATCAAGCAAGAGCACCAGATATCTGTTCGCACTCTTTGCGGCGAGGCCCTCCCGAAAGCCAAAGGAGCTCAGGGGGGAAATGATGAAGTGCTCAAGAGGTGCGAGTCGAAGCGCAGACGAACGGAGACACGCGGGGCCGAACCGGCAGCCGAAGGTGCAGGTGCCAAGAGTTCGACTTCAGGCGGTGCGCCTAGTTCGGCGGCTGCAGCCCCCGGCCGAGGCGAGCCCCCAGAGCGCCCCGCAGGCAGCCCCGAGGTGGGTGGGGGGCCCGCGCGCGCGCAGCTCGCGTCCTTCATGAACCCCCGCTAGCTGACCTTGACGAGCCAGATAGCGCACCGCCTCTTCGACAAACGCCCGCGTCGAGCTACTGCCTTTGAGCCCCCCGTCGAGGGAGCGGCCTGCATTGGTCTTCTGCTTGTGCCAGGTGGGCAAAATGTCCGTGCCCCTGCGAAGATCCAGCCCCCTGCGGGTCCCGGGATGAGCCTTGCCAGGCCAGCGACTGACATTGGCGAGCTCACCCTCTGGTCCGAGGCCCACCCCCCATGCGAGCCTCCAGCCCGCGCCGGCCACCCCGCTAGGAAAGGTTTGCTTTCATCGGCGAAAGACGGCGCCACCCGCGCCCCGAGACCTGCCTCGGTCGGGGCCCTCCGGGTCCTTCGTGCGCCCATGTCGGGGGCGCGGGGGGAATCAACCGCGGTGCTAGAAGTGCTTCCAATTATCTGATCTTGCAGGTCGGGGTCGCCCCTGCTGAAGCTGATATTGGAATGGCTGACTGCCCCCGTCGCACCGGCGCCTCGACGGGCGCCAGGCAGCCCCCTGGCGGACGGCGCTCCGAGACGCCCCCTCCTGGGGCCACATGGGCCCGGATCA